ACTGTGAAACCGTAAATATCTCCGAAAATTTCCTTCTATTTCCACCATTTCAACCAGTTTTTTTTACCTATACTCTCGTCCCAGCCTACCTACCCCACGAAATCTTAGTTTCACCTCAATCCCACACGTGATTTCGAGCGACTAAAGTGGGTACGACCCCCCCTCCTACAAACTCAACCAGGTACGACCCCCCCGTTGTTACTCGTAACAACGTAGGGTTGACCCTGCTCCCAACTAAGTTAGCACCGTGTTCCCTTTGGTGTGGAGACATGGGTGGGGACGATAGAACCGCTGTGCTGCATCCATCGCACTAGAGGGACCCCAAGAGCGGGTCCTCACCCGGATAAACTTGCCGTTCATCCCTGCGCTTTCTTCTTATTGGCACAAGAACTTTCCATGGAAATCGAACTTTGAACTGAACTTTTTTTGGGACAGCGGCTCGTTGTGCAAGATAGATTCGGCTCTGAGTGGCTCCGTAGTTTCAAGAGGGAGTCGGTTGCCTTTCATTTCAGAAAAGAATCGATCAGGTCCGTATGATGCATTTATTTTGTTCAATCAACAATATGCAGTTCAGCATGACAATTTTACCGTATTAAGCCGTCGTTTTACCGTACTTTCCGAAAAAGTGGCGCAGCTGATTCATAAATTCAAGCAATGGGAAGCCCTAATCTCTGCGAATCTAATGATCTAGTGACTCCCACTTCTGGCAATCTTCCACGTCACCTAAAAAATGCCCCAGGAACAACTTGGTGTGGTTCTTGCACACGAATACGAATGTATTGTGCGAAATGGGCCGGCAGTAAAAGAAAAAAGGAAAAGAATCCGTCGAAAACGCTTAGGTTAAGGGCTCACTCACCTTCCTAATCGGCTGTGCTAAGGGAATGAGAGACTAAGCGCGGAGAGGAGAGTATGAGGCGAGAGAGCGCTACAGATGAGAGGGCGCCAGACAACAGCCTGATAAAAATCTTGCAGCTTCAGCAGCTTACTTTGCAAGGCCTAGCGATGGTTTCCGTCCGCGCGAATACACATCTACGATCGCCCTCTAAGGTTCTATCCTAGAGACCGAAAGGAATTGTTCCCACGACTTCGGCCTGGGTTGTGCCTTTAACCCCGAATCATTATCTGGCTATTTACTGAGAAAACTTACCCGATCAGTTTTCTGCGGATCCCTCATGGCCTGGGCTGTGCCTTTGTGGGGTAGAAGATTGGAGCCTTTGTTTGTCAATGGCACTACCTTGGGTAATGACGCTGTCGTTAACTATCAGAACAGGACGAGGATAGTTTAGTTAGAACAGAAATGATCTTTAGATCATTTTGCTACCAGTTTCGATGGGTTTCACCAACTCTGAAGTTATGCAGATTGAAATATTATGGTAATTTTTTGGAGTTTGACCCTTCTTCTTGATTGTATTGTAATTCTGAGAGCTGTAAGTAGACTTTGAGCAGGAGCTACATCTGCTTTCACTATTTCCTGAAGGAATCCTTTCGTGCTGATTTCTTCCTGAAGTCTTTGGAGGGAGAATTTGGTTTCATGCCTGTTTTGGGAAAATTACCCCTTGGTTCTCAACTGGCCGGCGTAAATTTCAATCCGGTACAAAGGACGGAACAAATCTGTGGTGGATGCGCTACTGGCACTAACTTCCGACACTGGTGCTACTATGTGGAATTTAAGTTTTTTTAGAGATTAGCTCCAGATGGGAGCGGATTATTCGAGACGTATACTGGCTTGCAGAGTGCTCTTGAATGCTAGCATCTTGAAGTTGGTGAGCGCCGGTCGGTTGAAGAAGCTGCTTTAAGCTGTCTCTGATTCGTCTCATTCAGCTCTGGACTTGGTCCAGGGACTGAGATGGGATCACACGGGTACCTCATTATTCCAGCTTATTGCATATTGTATCCCAGCTATTCAGCCTAACGATTCAGCAGGTAGAGCTTATCGTTTCTTTGCGAGGTTTTATGCGGGTGCGAGCTTGCTTTAAACAGCACATTCTTTTCGAAGTCGTTTATATGAAATTTCTTCACTTGAAGCGTGTCTGTTGCATTATATTTATAGTATCGCAATTGGCTGTAGGTATTATTTTCGATGCGGATAAACGCTGGGGTAAGATTTTGCTCCATTACTTTCTTAATTTCCATTTGTCTTGTTTTTTCCTTAATTTTGTTTTCTGTCATGATATTTATTTCTTCACAATGCATTTAGTTGATTGTTAGAGGACTCATCGGTTGGTCGGAAATCTTCGCTCCCGAAGTTTTGTAAGAATATTTAATAATGCGAATCAATTTGAAGATCAATTATACATGTGTTTCTTCACAGCTAAGAGGGCGCCAACACTTACGTGAGCTTTCTACATCAGCGCCACCGATTTCGGAAGAACGTAAGTTAGAACTACAAATATCTTCAGAAGACGATTTATCAAACGATTATCTATCTCTATGCTTCTTTTCAGGAAGAGCGCTACAGTGACGCTAAGAGCCAATAAGTGCGCAGGAGCAGTGGCAAGCCTTTCGAGAGATTTTGATGACTACCATCCAGCGCCAATCGCTGTCATAAACTGGGAGCGGCGCCAATCTTCATTACGACAGACAGAGCTGGAGAAGAATAATTCGCGGTGGTCTTTCAGCCCTAGCAGCCCTGATCAAGCCCTTCTCGATTAGACCACATTCAGTATTTCCGCAAGAGAAAATTTCGAGACCGAGAGTGAGGTCATGAGACACTCCATAGGTTCTTCACAGCCCGAATCCTGTGCTTTCGGGAGAAGAGAATCACAAAGCTGCCAGAGCGTTGACATAGAGTATTACCATCCGTATCTGAGGGACCTCATGGTTAGATATGATTTATTCGGGTGCCGCGTATGCGCGGGATCTCCCCAATCTCAAGATCGAGAAATTGACCTAAATTTTGACACACGCATTTTTGCTCGGAAGGCGAAGTATCCTGGGATAATGTGGGCCCATGACCTAGCCGGTAAGCAAGTGAAGCCAATGTTGTTAAGCATTTAGTTAGTCAAACGAACTCTGAGGCTCCATTTGATCGGACATCTCTGCAGTGACCTGAGCGCACGTGGAGGGGAGAACTGACGTCTCGCATTTATTTCTCGCCGCTCTTCCAGGAAAGCCACAATAAAGAGTGGTCGGTAATGATACCCATTCAGAAAGATCAATGGAATAGACGGAAATTCTGGGAATTTGGACCTACTGCATTCTCATCGAGCCGTATGTGATGCGCCATGCGTTCCACTTCCACTTTGAATGCTCGGGTAGAATAAATCTTATACCGTGGTATTCGTAAAACTGTTCAAGTGATATTGCAGATCCCAACACAGAAATCAACATAACTATAGTATTAGAAGAATTTTCCACTACTATTTGAATTTCTATACCACTTCACCGACACTTTCAACAACTATCTTTCATTCTATGTCCCACATATCATGCAGGTGCAATTAAGAATTGCGGCCCCTTTGGATTTTTTTTTGCTCGAAAACATATTTTTTTAAAAATCAGTCTCAGCCCTTTTTTCAAGCAGAAAACACTAGTCCAGCCAGTTTAAAGGCGATGATCGCTTGGTTGTTGTGAAAGCGTAGTTTGAGAGATAAGATATTCCCAGGTGATCGGTATGGCGCAGGCGGGGTCAAGGAAGACAAAGCGTTGGCGGCGACTTCCACTCAAGTCATGGAATTTAGAGGATCTTTGGGGATTGGGCTGTCTCGCGAATTTGAGAGAGCAGGGGAGGGAGGGGGTACATCAGTGAACCAGCAATGACCAGCTGTAGCCTATCTAGAAAGTGTGGAAGTCAAAAATCGCGCCGTGTGTTCAGAGCAATGGCGCGTCCCTGAGCGGGATGTGATTCCTGCTGTTCCATTTCTGCTTCCTGCAATGTAGATGTGAGTTGTGGAAACATAGGAAGGTCATTGGAAGGGATTCTTCAAAGTGACAGGAAAGGAATCCACCACTCAAGAAGAAATGCAATTTTTACCGTTCGCTTCATAAACGTACAACCATTCAAGTTGAAAATTTGCAACTTTTATGCTTCTGCAATTGTCTTCATCAAAGTTAACTACAAATCGCATAATAGGTTTCAAAGAAAGTTAGGCTGGGACACATTGATTTTGCGGATCACGGTAACCACTGAGCTTCTCTGGGGAAAATGAAAGCAACATACGCAACGCAGAGCGTTTCATCCTAAGGCTTATTGTTACTCTTCAGAAAAGCGTTAATAATTAAAATCCTTGATCGTTGGTCTCCAAAATGACCTTAATCTAAGACCCACAAAACCAAGCTGTCCCATCCAACTAACATGATTATCCAACTAATGATTATCCAAGAATAATAGGGAGTGAAGGGCGCGTGTCGACCTCTTGAATCGAAGCCCGATTACTGCTGCTGGAACTGCTGCGACATCCGAAGAACACCCACACCAGCTCCATGTCGCCTAGAAATGTCTCGATTGTTAATGGACACTCAGAAGAGTTCCAGTTTGAATAAAAATGCGGACAATTCCACCACAAAAGGCAACTAACCGCTTATTCATGCGGCTATGAATTATCCACTGATTTGCCTCGGGATCAAAAACTTCAACGGTGTCCAATCGAAGGGGCCATTACGCCCACCAACAGCGTATAGCGTTTTGTTGACAACGGCCAGCGCTACCTGTGAACGACATCTTTTTTTTATTAGAGTGCATATAGAAAGAAGCGAGTGGGCTCACATCAGTTCGTTTCTCATTCATGTCAGCCACTGCTATCCATTCGTTGGTACGGGGGTTGTATTTTTCAGCTGAACTCAGATCTGGTCCTCCTGCTGCATACAAGTGCCCATCGAACACTGCAGACCCCAAAAAGCTTCGACTTGTTGTCATTGGACGAATGTGCTCCCACTTTCCCACTCGTGGGTCGAATCTGAAAATATGGAATGTCACATTCATAATTCGCAATTCGTTTTCGCAAGTCGGTGGCACCAGGCGAGTAAGACGGCTCCTAAATGCAGAGTAAACTGAAACTGATGCATGTTATGCGTTTTCCAGGCATTGATTCGCACTTTTTTTAAAGAAGCAATTCCATTATCTATAAAGTTTCAACAACTTTGGTAGTAATGTACTTATATTGTCGAATCTTCGACAGAGTCATCATCCATTGTGCTGATTTAAAAATTTCCACGGTACACTCCTATCATTTCTCAATACAACCATCACCCCTCCTCCCTGTCTCACAAGGGAAGGATACCAGGTCGAAGTGGCCATTTGTAACGAGACATACACCACTAGATGTGTTTTTGGACGCTGATCTCGAATCTGCTCTCCAAATCTGCGGAACGATTCTCTGAACGTAGTTATGAAGCGAGATAGTGCAGTGGCAGCGGCCCGGGCCGACGAACAAGAGGTCGTGAGATCGATTTCTTGGCGAGTTCTCAGTTTTGCTTTTCTTGAGAACA